AGTTGGGAATGCCATAGCACATTGCATGATTTATAAACACTGTCACCACCCACTAGTAAAAGATATATATAGATATATAATATTAAAATCCTTAATATTAAAATCCAAGCCTCTGTGTCATACCTGACCATAAGCGAACACGGTGGCGTTGTAGCCCTCAAAGCAGCCCTCGATGAGCTTGTACACACAGGACTGATAGATGTTCTGCTGCTCTGAGTTAATGTCAAACACAAAGTCATAGGTAAAAGCCTTGTCCTTTCCCAGGAGGACTTGCGGTTCTCCAGGTGTGACCAGCGTGCACACATGGCATCCCTCTATCTTCTCCTTTGCCATCTGAGGACGAATCCTGAGAGGAGAGAAGAAGAGGAGAGAGACACAGTCAGTAAATGTCTTCAATGTAGTGTGCAGATCAAGCATGACAATCTGAGCCACGCACTAGACATGCTGTGGTTTGACCTCAGGATCATTTCAAGTGTAAACAATAAACAGTGAGAATGTAACAGCAAATTATGAAGGGATAATGGAAAGACGCCCGCATCAAAGCCCAGACTGTAAAATAATAATCTGTTCAAGTAATATGACCTTAAAAACACAACATGATTTATCATAGTAGACATTTAATCAAAGACGGCTCTAGCGAGATAAATCCAAACTCATTTGCAATCTGTTTTTTGCTGTTACTTGACATTAAGGACATTTTGCAACTTTTATTTCCCTATGAAACTTGGTCCACACTGGAATCCAGTGTAATTGTTTACTACAAGCTTGCTGCATGTTTTAAGTGTTTGACACAAAACAAAGCATTGTACTCCTATAACACTGTCAGACTCACGATGGACAGTTTAAAAACAATCTGTGCAGCAAGCCAATGCGTTCTTCTTGCTTGACAAAAACCTGGCTCCACAATGCAATTCAACTCGATTCACTCAACTGTACAGATTCAGGGTAGTAGCAGCTAATGTAGCCTCCAGCGGTCTGCAGAATCTGGTAAGCTACTTGTTTCTATCTCCATCTCCAAGTGACATCACTTGAGGCCATTTATCTAACGTTGTGTAGTAGTACTCCCCAAGACATGTACACAGACTTAGATGTGTGAAATCGGTGCAGCTCCTCTTTAAAAGTCTGTTTAGGCAAAGTGGTGTAAATGTATATGATTTATCTGATTTATTTGGTCAACTTATAAAAGGTTATAAAGGTCATGTTTAAGTGCTTCTGTCACTCAGAAGATTATGTGTATGGTTGAGATGGCTACAACATCTACTGTATATTAAATTGTGAGGAACCTACAATAAACCTACATAGCGAGTTTACCCATTCTCATTGTCCTCAAAGACAGCCTTTCCAAAAAGGGACATTAAAGGAAAGTGGAGCAGACGTGTTCCAACCTGTGTCCTGATTCACTAAGACGAACAAAACATGCACACAACTTTATAGTGTGGAACTTAACAGAAAGAAAGAACAACACTGAGGACAAAGCACACACATCAGCACACTTGTTTGTGCTGTTGATTTAAAAAAGGAAGTTAGTGAAGAGGTATAAAATCGACAGCTCTGAGAGAAACTAGTGCAAGTAGGGCCACTGATGATAAGTCAAACCTTGGCTGATAAGTCATTATTACATCAGCTGTTAATCCTGCTGCTCAGGAACTTAGAGTTCTGCTGGGCTTTCCACCCTGACAGGTAGTTCATTGCAGTTAATTGCTTTCACCTGACATCCCTGTTGTAAAATAATCCCTGATTAGATGAGTCCAAAGGAAAGAAGCAACCACCAGCCTGAATATCTTTGAACTCGGTGACAGAATGAGGGCCGAGTATTTAAATTTAGCATCATTTTAACATGTTTGCCAGCAGAACAGCAGAAAGTCTCGCAGGCAAAAGACGGCTGATTAGCAGAGATGTAAAATAAGTGACACTTTTAGCTTGGGCTGCAGCGCTTCTAAATTTGAGAAAACCTTGTGTAGAAAACTGAGGGCATAACGTTGCTCTCACATAACGCAATGTACATAAAACAGAAGATCTGTCACACGGCGGACTGTTAATCTTGGGCTTTCAGAGGTACAATGTGGACACAGTGGGGAGGTAATCACTTTAAGCTGCGGAAAAAGCCATGAGCCAGCAGTATCGGAGAACTGGGTCCACCTCTCCACATGCTAAAACCCCCCAGTTAAATCTTCAGGGGATGCAAATCAACTCCCCCGCACACTGAGACAGCACCAGAGACTCCCAATGTGATACTGCAACAAAGACACACACATACTGTACACATTCATGAAAACGCAAGACAAATCCTCAACCACACACAGCTGCTGTAGGGACAGTGGGCACATCACAAAGACACACACAGTAACTCTAGAAACACATACTGTACACACACACAGTTCAAAAACAACTTACTGTTCTATCTTCACTTCACACATGGTTCCTCTCAAGCATTAAGAACCACACCCACCACCAACACTCACAATAATCCTTTCACCACACATCATTATTGTGCTGCAGAAACACACACACACAGCAGACAACAGCATTTTTTGGCCCTCTTTCAGGCCTTGAGGCGTCATTGAAGAGGGTCTTCCAGGAAGGAATTAGAATAGAGCAATTTAACAGCAGCAGCATATAAACCCCCGGCCACCTAATGACAGACAGACAGTGTGACATACTAGAAAGCAGCTTGCAGACAGATGAGTCCCTTTTATTACTGGAAGTGACCTTGACACTGAGGTTAATGTATCTAAAACCACAGAACCTATATGAGTTCACTTTAAGCCAATTATTAACATAAATTAGATACAGCAAAGGAGGAGTGCGTTGGCTCTGCACAAAGGACTCATCAGAAAACGGAGAGTGTGTGTGTGTGGGTGTGTGTGTGCGTGTGTGTGTTAGCGTGAGCTGCAGCTGTATCGTAAAAGGGTTGGAGGTCATTCTTCTCTCCTTTTCTTTGTTTACACTCAATTCACTCAATATTTATAGGTCAGGAGTGTCAAGTGTAGACGCTTGACAGCAGACATTTAAAAGAAAGAAAGAAAGAAAGAAAGAAAGAAAGAAAGAAAGAAAGAAAGAAAGAAAATACACTATAGTGTGGTCAGTATCACATCCATTTACTCAGAATCTCTTTGAGGCAACACATTTTTTAATCGTCAGTCCTTTTCCCATTAAGATAATTAACTTTTCCTAATCATTTACAGTAAAAAGAAAATACGCAGAAATACTTTCTGAATGATGATTTTCCTGCCAACATTTAGTGCATTTCGCCTTACACTGACAGCTAAGTGACTTACTGCACAGCCACGACAGGATTTGTCTCTGCTGACGAATCTCTGACACAGCACAGACACTTTCAATTTGGTCACAACTAAACTCAAGCCCACAAAGTGACCTTGTATTTCTCTGTCTGGAATGCTAAAAAAAAACAAAAATGTAAACCAAACTTTCTATTTTAGCCACAGTGGAAATGAATTGGCAACAACCAGTTATTTTTGGTTTATTTCGCGTTTAGCCATGCTAGCAGTATGGCTCTGGGGATGGTAATGTCACACTGAAATACAGCAACAATTACAGGAGGAATTTCAATAAAATATTAGCACAGATATTAATGGTCCTCAGAGGATTGAGCCTGCAGACGTGATCCCCTGGTTCTTTCTCTAGCACCATTATCAGGTTTACCTCCCACTGAACTAATGCCATCCTCATCAGACTCAGCTGGACTCTTGTGTTTGGTACTAATGAGGGAAATGTTCACATGCTGAAGACACTACACTGACTTGTCTACATATAAAACAATATTAGCAATGCTAATAAGTTATTCAACAGAAAAGTTTTCGACAACTTTTGATGATTGTTTGATCATTTAAGCCATTTATCGAGCAAAACTGCCAAAACATTTGTTGGTTCCAGCTTGTGAAATGTGACGCCTCTCTTTGTTTTATGTTATTGTAAAGGTAATATTTTTATATTTGGACCGTAGGTCAGATAAAGCAACTGATCAAAAACATTATGGAAAGACTACAGAATAATGAAAATCATCATTTGCTGCTGCCCTTAATATCACATGACCAAATATGTGTGTCTAGCTTTAATGTTCTACATGCTTCTTCTGAGCGTCCTCTCCATTATCACTGTGCATCAGATGTGAATAGACAAACGCACACATACAAAGAGACATAAAAACAACAATGACAGCCTGACAGTGATCCAGAGGGAGAAGAAATGGAACAGCTATAAATAATCAATTCACACACACACACAAACACACGCACACACACACAATTACACCAAGGCTCAGCTGGATGAACATATAAGCCAGCTGCACCCACAAAAGATGGGATCCATACCATTGATCAGAACAAAAAACATAACACACACACACACACACACCATACACACAACGATCCAGACCGCATACTCACTAAAAGACATTTACGACTAAAAATAGATCATCACACCACGATTAAATGTCTGTATGAGACAGAGGCGGAGAGAGAAACAGAGAAGCAGATTGTGGATCCCTGATGCGGCAAATTAAGATGTCTATCTCTTCTCATCTATGCACACTAATAGGAAAATGGTTTAAATACCCGGGGGACTAAACAGCAGAGGGCACGCACACGCACACACACACACACACACACACACACACACCTGTATTTCTCCATTTTATCGTGCTTGTTTGTAAATTCCTAATCTTTCTACACCGATACAGGTAAAACCATGGTATCCACAATCATTACCCTCATGTTTTGTGAGGGGTCCTAAACCTAGTTCTGTCAGACACACAGACACAAAGTCAGAAACTCATTATCTACCAGCTCTGAGGGAATTTACAATTACAATAATTATCTAACCCAATAGTGCTAATAAGGACCAGACTCATAAAAACAAATACACACACACACACACACACACACACACTGAGTATTTGGCATATCAAACCCTGATAGCAGCAAAAGTCATTGATGCGTGACTTGAGAGTGAAGTTATCTGCAACATGAGGGAGGCGGCGGACCCCTCAGAATATACTGAACACAGTCCCCCAGACCTTTCTGACATTTACAGCATCCCCCGTCAGATCCCTGCCTTTGAAACTGTAAAATTCTTCACACTCTTTCAATGTGTGACAAAACTAAAATATTGATCTCTCTAGATCTCTACAGTTTGATTTACTGTATCCTGTCCTCTGGCATGTGGAAAGAGTTTGCAGGGAGTCCTACAACTGCCATTAAGTGCCAGAGGGGCTCCATCATTCACATATCACAAAACACTGGGAGGAAATGCTGCCAACTCAGTGACAGATGAGTCCCAGACTGACCTCACTGAGCAGGATGAAGCACTCATGCAACAGCAACCACA